TTACTGGTCAGTTTGGAAATTGGTTAAGCAACACTTTGTCTGTTTCATTAGATTGATGGTTGTTTTTCTGTACCAGGAATATCAGCATGAGCTGAGATTTTGTTTGAAGTACAGATTCTTTGGCCCCACAGAGACTTACTGAATTTAAAACCCTGGGAGAGGGACTCAGCAGTTAGCATTTCAGCCAACCCTGTGGTGATGTTGTTATGTGCTGCAGTTTAAGAATGACTCCAGAAAATGATGGGGAGTTCTGGTGACTTAGAGGTAAGGAGTTGTGCTGCCAACCCAAAGGAATACAGTTCAAATCCACCAGCTGTCCCATGGAAGAAAGATGCACAGTTTCCTACCTTGTGATTTACAGTATATACACACACAAAATAATAAAATTAAATTAAATTTTTAAAAACCCAATAATAGAAGATGATAAAGGAGTTTTTGTTGTATTTAGTCCATGTCAATGACCTCTGAATAGATCCTCTGAATTTATTGATTTATTGAAACAAATATTTTCTTAGTTATTTGTTTTCTTTAGAAATGATAGAACTTTTATACTTTTAATATTTTTTAAAATATATGTAGAAGAATGGGAATCCCAGAACGCTTAAATGTGATCGTGCGAAACCTATGCTTGTACCAGGAAGCAGTCCTCAGAAAAGAGCAGGGAAACGCTGCCTGGTTCAAAATTGGGAAAGGAGTGCATCAGGGATGTGTCCTGTCTCCATACCTTTTCAGTCTGTATGCAGGACAGATCATTTGAGAGGATGGACTTTATTAGAAGGAATGTTGCCTTAGGATTGTAAGAAAATTCATCAACAACCTTGCTTGCCGAAACTGAAGAGGACCTGAAGTGTTTGTTGCAGAAGGTCAAGGACTGTAGTCTTCATTGTGGATTGAAGTTCAACATCAAGAAGACAGAGATCCTCACCACTGGGTCAATTGGCAGCTTCAGTATGGATGATGAAGAGATTGAGATTATTAACAGTTTCAGCTAGTTTGGTTCCACAGTCAACACTGTTGGCACCAGCAGTTAGGAAATCAAAAGATGAATTGCATTAGGTAAGTCTGCTCTCAGGGTTCTCTCCAAAGTGCTAAAGAGTAATGATGTCTAGAAGCTAACGTGTGCCTGATCCAGGCCATGGTCTTTGCAATTACTTGCATCAGAGAGCAAGACAATGACTAAGGATGACAGAAGAATCAATGCCTTTGAGTTATGGTGCTGGAGAAGAGTATTGAACACGTATACCATGGACCACCGAGAGAACAAACAGGTCTGTTTTATAGAAGGTAAAACCAAGTTTCTCCTTGGAGGCAAGGATTTTGAAGATCACCCTTACATACTTTGGACATGTTGCCAGGAGGGACCAGTCCTTGGAGAAGGATGTCATCTTGGAAGGGTGGAGGGACAGCTCAAGAGAGGAAGACCTCTGATGAGATGGATTGATGCAGTAACTGGGGCAATGAGGATAGGAGTGTTGGAATCAGACTGGCTCAGAACAGGGCAGGCTGCAAAGCTGTTGTACATAGGGCCGCTATGAGTTTCAGGTGTCTTGATGGCACTTAACAACAACAGTTACAGAATATTTTTATTATTTAAACAGAATCCTTCAGTGTCCATAAAGAAAATTATCAGACACTGTCTGCTTCTTTTCCTTTTGCTTAGGCTTCTTGACTTTTTAGCCATTTCAGGGTGTGTTGTGACATCCATTTTGGTTTTTTCTTTCTCCTCTTTGTAGTGAACTTTTGCTGTCTTTATGGATGATATCCTTCTTGTCATCCCAAAACTCATTGGTCTTTGATAGTTGGTTTGTCAATGCTTCAAATGTATTCTTTTTTTAAATTTTATTTTTATTATTATTATTTTATTTTTGCATGTACCGTCAAATTAACTTTAACTGGTACAGGAGGAGATTGTCCCTTCTTCTTCAGCAAAGCATCTCGTGGATTTGAACCACTCACCTCTAGGATTGCAGTGCAGCTTCTTGCCACTAGTCCACCAGAGTTCACCTCAAATGTATTCTTAATAGGATTTTTTAATTAAGATGATAGACGCAAGGTCGTATTTTGGGTTTAGTGGACTTGTTTTCATTTTCTGCAGCTCCAGTTTGAACATGTGCATGAATAATTGCTGATCTGTTTCACAGTTACTACCTTTCCTGGGTTTTTTTGGTCTGATATTGAGCTTCTCCAACAATCTCTTTCACAACATAGTCAATCTGATTCCTCTTCAGTCCATTTAATGAGGTCCAAGTTGCCATTTGTGATTTTTTCAAAATAGTATTTTGTGAGATCAGAACTCTTATACACTGTCGGTGATATTGTAAAATGGCACAGCCTCTCTGGAAGGTGTTCTGCCCACGAAATGCCCCTCGAAAGAATAATCCGCACTTTTGTAAATACAAATAAGCACTTCATTCCAGAGTATCCCCAGGTGGAGGCTTTCTCCCTCGTAGGAAGGTGGCGAGGGAAAAAGCCCCGACTCCCCCCTCCCCCCACTATTGCTTATATGGCTTTCCTGGGTGCCGCTGTCGGGGCGGGGAGATGGAGATCATGGTTGGTGGGTTGGGGGATCAGTCATGTGGGTTGGCTTTTGACAGGCTGGCTACTTTGCCCGCCTTTGCTCTTTTTGTGTCACGTAGACACTAGTTAATTCTTTACTTTGCAAGGACAGATAAGACTTTACCCGGGGCATTTGTATTTGCCTTAAGCTAAGAATTTTTATGGCCCGCTTCTGCTTCTGGTATTAATGGGGGTTTATAAAATACAAGCTTTATTCTGTCCCCTCAGAAGGCAGTTTGACATTTCCTCAAAATGCTGAACATAGAGATTCCATATAACCCAGCCATTCTGCTGCTTGGAATTTACCCAAAAAAAAAAATGAGAACTGAGGCTCAAATGGATACTTGTACACCAATGTTCATAGCAGTGTTATTCACCATCCCAAGAACATGGAAACAGCCTAGATGCCCAACCACAATGGAATGGATTGAGAAATTATGCTACATTCACATAATGGAATACCATGCAACATGCAGTAGCAATGATTTTGTAAATTATTACCTAACAGGGGAGGGAATGAAGAGCATTATGCTAAGTGAACTAACTCAGTCTCATAAAGACAAATACTGTATAAGACCATTATTATAGAGCATGTATGAGGATCCAAGGGGGCTTAAGCATAGGGTCACATAATGTGATGAGTGGAGGGAGGGAATTGGTAAAGGAAAGGGGAAAGGTCTAGTGTGAAAAAAATGTTATGAACTTTTATATATAAACCAGTATAAAAGAAAATTTAAAATTTTTTTAAAAAGTATTTTGTGGTGAATATATCATTGAAGGTATAAAAATTTGATGGTATTATTTCTAGCCTCATTTCTTTTATCAAGTTCTGTACTTTCCATCTACCCTTCCCTCTTCATTGTTTCTAGCTTTTGCATTCCAGTCACTGATTTTTTTTATTATTATTTTTGTGTGAGTGTACCGTCAAATCAGATCTGACTGGTACAGGAGGAGATTGTCCCTCCTTCCCCGGCAGAGCATCTGGTGGATTCGAACCGTGCGCCTCTGGGATTGTAGTTGCAGCTCCTTGTCACTAGGCCACCAGAACTCCCCTCACTGATTATTTTTAACACATCTTGATCCTTAACTAATCATTAACCTTTATGCAAATGGCACAGCCTTGCTTGCTGAAAGTGAGGAGGACTTGAAGTGCTTGTTGCAGAAGGTTAAACACTGCAGCCTTCAATATAAGGTTGTATCTCAATGTCAGACTCCTCACCACTGGACCAATAGGCAACATCATGATAGATGGAGAAAACATTGCAAGTGTCAACGACTTCATCCTAACTTAGATCCACAATTAGTTTACTCAGTACCAGCAGTCAGGAGATCATGAAACTTACTGCACTGGGAAAGTCGGTAGTCAGAGACCCCTCTAAATTTTTGAGGAACAGTGATGTCAATTTGAGGACCAACATGCGCCTGATTCAGGTCAATAGTCTTTTTATTCTCTTGCTGTGCTTCTGAGAGCTGGAAAATGACAAAGAATGACAGAAAAAAACCCTTGATACCTTTGAACTGTGGTGTTGGGGAGGAGTGCTGAATATTCTGTGGACTGCCAAAAGAAAATCTTTCTTGGAGAGGGTGCAGCCAGAGTGCTCTTTGGTGGCAAATAGGACAAAGCTTCGTCTCATGTACTTTAGTCAGTATTGCTAGGAAAAGCTGTTCCCTGGAGAGGAGCATCATACTTGGAAAGGTGGAGGGACAGGAAAGGACAGGAAGACCTTCGGCAGGGTGGATTGACACAGTGACTGCGGCCATGGGCTTGAGTGTGCCAGCTATAGTGGGGACGGACCAGGAGAGAACAGGGTTCAGATCCGTTCATAGCGGCACTATGAGTCATACTCGATGGCACCTAACAAAACAATCTGTTTAATTATAAAGAAATGCTCCTGCCAAAGTTACCTTGCAGAGAATGTGTGGTTAGCAAATTCAGTGAAGCTTGTAGTGAAAATGTGTTTAAAACATGACATTTATATAGATTCATTTAAACATGGCAAGATAATAGTATCTGTTACATGAATATAATGGCTACTTCCCTAAGAAAATATGAAAAGTAAGTAGAAGTTGATTGATTGCAATGTATGATGTCATTTAATATAACCCCAAAACAAATTATAATCGAGATAGATACGAGATAGAAGGAAGTGTGCTTTCTTAACACTTGTGGGATTGTTAAAGAGAACAGTCTTATAATAGCTCAGAATGCATTAATGAAGACATTCTACCTGGTAAAACGGCTGAACTCATAGGTTTTACTAGCAGAACGATAGTTACATAGATGATAAGAAATGATAGCTCTTCTTGAAATCCTAACTTTCTTGGCGCCACTCTATAGAAAGGATTAAAATCAGCATTCAGGCTCATTCAGAGTAGAATGGCCAGTAAGGCAGCCAGTACATCCGAAGTTGGTGGACTAATGTTTGGGTTGTTTTCTCTTTTAGGTGAAATGAACCAGAAGTACAGGGAGCTAAGAAAAAGAGAGGAAACTGTGGACGGTAAATGATGATCTCAGATGTAAAGAGGCTGTATTCTCACACTGCTGTTCGTTTACACCAAGTCACTTGTCTTATTTGGAGAAACTATAACTACTAATACAAAACGCAGACATGTGGTTCTTTAAAGCTTGCTGACATTGTTAGAGTCATAGATGTTAAACTTACAAGTTTCAAAGTGTAGAAATATTCTTAATTGAGTAACAATCAGGCTAGTAACAAAAAACCAAAAACAAACCAACCGTGGAAGTATAACATTTATGTTTGCTTTGAGTTTTTAAATAGTACTCATAAGAACTACAAATCAGAGTTTATATAGTGCTAACAGTATCAGCAGTAGCCTGTCTTATCATGTTTATTAATCGGCAGGTTTTATTGAGATGTTTGAGGAGACTAAGAACCAGGAGCTGGAACGGAAGGCGCAGGTGGAAGCCAGCATTGTTGCCCTTCTGGAGCACTGCAGCCGGGTGAGTACCGCGTGCCCCCTGTCCTGTCCGTTGTTTGTGTTAAGACTGCCCTTCCACGTACAGCTCAAAAATGTGCAAAGATTCACCAGTAGGTCTGCTCAGCTTAGCTGATTCCTTTATGTTTCTTTCTCTTGCTTGTTTTATTCTCTGTACGTTCCTAATTTCCATCTCTCTAATAAAATGTTAGCTAATAAGAGGGACATCATGCTGGGTAGAGTGGAGGGACAGTGCAGGAGGGGAAGACCCTCTATGAGGTGGATTGATTCAGTGACTGGGGTACTCAGGATGGGTTTGTCAGAGGCAATGAGATTGGCACAGGATAGAGCAGGGTTTAGGGCTGTTGTACATAGGGTCGCTATGAGTCGCAAACGACTCGACAGCACATAACAACAACAACAACAATAAGAGGAATTAATTCAGTCACTGGGGCAATGAAGGTAGGTGTGTCAGAGACAGCACATAACAACAACAATAAGAGGACTAGGGGACAAGGATGGCAGATGTATAACATCAGTGTTCAGCCCTGAGTGTAACACTACAGAGTGCTATATTTTCTTCTATTGTTAATCATTTGGAACCTGTACAAATAGTATTGCACAGAAAAAATAAAAATCCCGACTATTTTGGGAATATAGCATAGCGCCTAAAGAGTTGCACTGCCATCCCAAAGATAGAGATTTCTAATCCCCCAGTGGTATCTGGAGAGAAAGATGAGTAATCTCCTGTGAGAATCACAATGGCTGGTGATGAATTACTTTCGTCTCCACAGAAATGAGTTTGGTTTTTTTAGTATATTTTTCTTTGCTTGCTTGAGTATCTTTATTTTATATATATATATATATATATTTATATTTTATATATATAAAATGTCTATCAAAAAAGTCAGACTAACTGACTGTTAGGCTGTAATTGAACTCTCACGTCTGTGGCTTCTTAGCTACCTTTTAAGCCTTCAAACCTGGAACTGAACTTGCTCCTGGGGATCAGTTTCAGCCACGCATTAGACAAGTCTATCAAGGACTACAGTCTTCAATGTGGATTCATCTCAACATCAAGAAAACAAAAATCCTCACCACTGAACCAGTAGGTAACATTATGCTCAATGGAGAGAAGATTGAGGTTGTCACCAGTTTCATTTTACCTAAATCCACAATCGACATCCATGGCAGCAACACTGAAAAATCATGTTGCACTGGGAATATCTACCATCAGATATCTCTAAAGTGCTCTCTAAAGAGCAATGATGTGAGTTTAAAGACCAAGGTGCACCTGATTCAAGCTTTTGCCTTTTCATTTGCTTTCTGTGCATCTGAAAGTTGGACAATAAATAAGGAGGACCAAAGAATTGATGCTTTTGTATTGTGGTAGAAGAGAAGGGTACTGACTAACACGTCGACTGACAAAAGAACCAGCCAGTCTATGTCTTGGAGGAAATGTGATCGAGCTGCTCCTTAGAAGCAAGGATGGTGAAACTTCATCTCACATACTTTGCGCATGTTGTCAGGAGGGACCAGTGCTTGGAACAAGGCATCATACTGAGAAAGATAGAGGGTCAGCAAATGAGAGAAAGCTCCTCAAGGATTTGAACTAACACGGTGATTATAACAATGGACTTGAACATGATAGAGAAAAGAGGATGGTGCAGTACATAGAAGGATGTTGATGTGCTGTTCATAGAATTGCTATGAGTCATAGCCAACAACACCTAACAGCAGCAGCCACCACCTGGACATTTATAACACCATTGGGCAAGGGATCCTTCAGGACAAGCCATTGGAAAAGACAGCATTTACCAAATCTTTTTTTCATTTTATGCTGATTTAGTTACAGAGTTTGATTACATTGTTTTTCACAAAAGATTCTTCTTAGAAAGCAGGAAGGGACAAGGAAGAAGGATGGCTGGAAATGGAGAACCCAGGAAGGAAGGAGAAGTGCTGCTTCCTTGGGAGGATTGCAACCAGTATCATGAAACAAACTATTGAATGGAAAACTAATATACCCTGTAAATTTTCAAACTATAACTTAAGAACTATTACATAAACACTACTGTATGTAATATGATAAGAGAATAATTACATGGTCACTTTTTAGTAAATATTTCAGGATTCCACCTAAGCTCCTTAAGTAATAGAGTTGAGTTTTTATCTGCAACCAAATAATAAAGCAAATGAAAAAGAATCAGTTCTGTCTGCCTCTACTTACTGAGAAAAACCAATGAATGGTATAATTTAAAAAAGAATACTTATAGACAATGTCATTCTTTTTTTTTTGTCATTGTTTTCCATGGGTTTCCTGGAGTGTTAAGTCAGTGGAATTTTTTTCCATTTTTATTTCCCTGTGAATACAGAATATAAATCGTATGAAGCAGATCTCCTCTGTCACCAACCAAGAGCTGAAGCTGATGCAGGATGACCTCAGTTTTAAATCGACTGAGATGCAGAAATCTCAGAGTACAGCTCAGAATCTGACTTCAGGTCAGGAAATAATCTTGCTTATTTTCTGTTGCAGATAGGAATTTTTCAATTTTCTTTTCTTTGGATTTTTGTAAGTCTCTCTTGACTACACCTAGATTCTCTCCTGGCTTCGGTCACTTGTACTTTTCTTACTAGTTTTGCAGTGTGATAATCTCCTTGATGTGATGATGTGTCTGGCATACTTATGTGTCTTGGTTGTGCAATGGTTAAAGTACCTGGCCGCTAATGGAAAGATTGTCAGTGTGAACCTATTAACTGCTCTCAGAAACATGTGACAGCCTCCTTCTGTAAAGATGACAGCCTTGGGAACCTTGTCGGGCTATTCAGCTCTGTCCGTCAGGGACATTGTTTTTCACACTAGACCTTGACCTTTTCTTTACCAGTTCCCTCCCTCCACTCATCACATTGTGCGACCCTCTGCTTAAGCCCCCTTGAATCCTCCCACTCATTCTACAATAATGGTTCTATACAGTATTTGTCTTTATGAGACTGAGTTAGATCACTCAGCATAATGCTCTTCGGTCCCTCCCGTTAGGTAATAATTTACAAAATCATTGCTCCTGCATGCTGCATGGTATTCCATTGCGTGGATGTAGCATAATGGAGACCTTGTGAGTTAGAGGTCCGTGTGAGCCACTGCACCAGAGCTCCGTGCAATAAGCAGTTCAGATTGCCTTGGAGTCAAAACCTACTCCTGGTGACCCTCCGACAGAGTTTCAAATAAGTATTATGGTTTTTAAATGACTACTGGATCCTACTAATATGCCATCAAATTTAGAGTAAGGATATAGGCAGATAATTGCTATTCCATACATTTACAAATATTTTATCTGCCCAGGCTGTTGAAGAACTTACCATAATTTTATGTATCTGAATTTGATTCCAATAATTACAAAACTCAAACCTGAGTAGATTCAGAACCTACTGAGAATTGACTCGCCAGTGAATTTTCAGGAGCCCATAAATAGCCCAGGAGGAGATTGCCTGTCTTTCTCTTGTGGATTTGAAGGGCCCAAGAAGCCCCACCTTTAGATTAGCAGTCACTTCCTACTTAACTTACCACCGGAGCTCCCACAACACCTAGTAGAGTACGTTCTAGTACTGGCTTGACCTGAATTATTTTAACATTTTTTCATATGTTAATGACTTTAAAGTTTAGTTATCCTATTTACAAAACCTGTTTTGTGTTTTAGATTGTAGTACTTAAGTTTTATGGTTTGGTTTTTTGGTGGGGTTTTTTTTATTTATACCAACATTCATTCAACGAGTTTTTGCCACAGCAAACTGCTCTCAATGCTCTAGATTCTGCAGGACTCAGAGCTGACCCTCCTGTGGATTTTCAGAGCCTGTAAATCACACTGAGGAAGATTGCCCATCTTCCTTCTGCAAACATTTTTAAAAGAGAAAAATCCATATCTCAAGTGTGAATTTAAGTTGTTAAATGACTTTTTCCAACCTGATCCAAGAACTCTAACAGGTTAGGTTTTTTTAATCCTTGGGAATCACCATAAGAGACTTAGGATATATTTATTTGATTTGATATTCATCTTGATTTTGGCATTCATCTTTTGTGGATTGTTTCAATTTTTATAGTCATCTTTTGTGGATTGTTTCCCAAAACTAGAATTAGAAATTTTATTTGAAATATCTACCTCTTAGGTTAAAATTAGGACTCCTGTTTTATAGAAGGAAGGATAAGACCAAAAAAAAGATAACTATCCTGATTTGTTGCTTTCCCAAAGCCACTATACATACAGGTAGAGACTATGTGATGCACATTTTTCATGCAGAGAGGATATGATTAGGAGGGAAAGTGCAAAAAGGGCCCCTTAGGGAGATGACAATGAAAGGCAAGACTGAGAAACACCGATGTCCTCGGAGTCAAGAGGCAGAGAGTCTGTCAGCAGTAGTTTTTATTTATATTTTTGGAAAGGAAACGCCAGGGAGTAAACAAATGTGCTGATGGCAGAATATTTCAGACACATTTCCCCAGGTCAAAGTGGTTCCTTCTGAGATTGTGCTACTATGTACACACTGCTTGGTAAACTTTGGGACTTGCTAGCATATCAGAAGGAACTGGACTGCTTCCTCTTCCTGCCTCTTCCCTTCGAGGAGCTTTCAGCTTTTCACAGGGACCTGTTGTGAGCGGAAGATAAACTTTCCCCCATTCCAGCCAGTCATTCGTGCCTAGAAAAAGCCGGTTTTAGGAAAAAATCATTTGCATACTTCGTAAATGTTTTTTTTTAGTATTACAATATCTAAAGATTAAATTTAAAGTGAGACTTAAAACCAACTAGTTAAAATATCTCCATGTTAAGAACATTCCCATTAATGTGTGAATAGGAAGGAATACTGCTTTCTATTCAGCTTATTAAGTATTAGGATACATATCTTGTTGGACTATCCCAACATAAAATTGATTCTTTACCACTTACAAATAATAAGCCTCTAACTCATTCACAAAGATGTGAATTTAACAATAGCAAGACCCTCTCAACAGAGGTTAAGTCCTGCCAGCTCTGCTGCCATAATCAGGAGGCAGTTGCCCTGCGAACCCCAAGGTCGCGTCTCTCTCGTGGTTCGAATTTACCAGCAGCTCCCCAGGAGTAAAGGGGGTAATCTCCTCTAGTGCACTTTATACTCCTGGGAACCCACTGGAGCCTACGCTATGAGTCATTTCCAGCTCGACAGCAAGTAGTTTTAAAATTAACAAACATCAATCAGTATTTGTTGTATGTTTGGGAGAATTAGAAGAGAAATCCTAGAAAGGAGGGAAGCTAAGTGTTGAAAGCTGTGTATAAACTTCACGCAAACCCTGGTGTGACCACCAAACACATCAAGGAAACGCAAGGAAATAAAGCAGCAGTTGTTAACAAGACAACTAAGGAAACATTTTAGATGGTTTTCCCCCAGTGGAGGTAAAGTTTGAGACTAGTATACTTTACTCCTCCTTATAATAAAATCAGTACTCTTCAAAGGAACACAGCCGAACCCAGAGTCTCTAGAATGTATCATTTATAATGCTCAGTACGGTAATAGAAAGAAAGTCACCCTTAAGCCCATAATTGTAATCCATTAAAGAGAATGTGTTTAGAGAGCCACATGCTCTGAGGCACCCTTTACTGTTTCTCAAAGCAGTTACGCAAAGTGTTGAGAGTGAACCATTCTAACTCTAGGGCATAGCCGCTTGAGTGAAGACAATGTTTGAGTTAATTTCTATATCAGCTGAAGCACATAGTAGGGGCTAAATACTTATGAAGATAAAAATGAGAAACACGTAAAGATAGTGTGTTTACGTGTATGTGTCATTAAAATTGTGATTTATATATAAATGATGTTGTTGTTGTTGTTATGTGTCGTCGAGTTGTTTCCGACTCATAGTGACCCTATGCACAACAGCCCTAAACCCTGCTCTATCCTGCGCCAACCGCACCGCCTCTGACACACCCATCCTGATTACCCCAGTCACCGAATCAATCCATCTCATAGAGGGTCTTCCCCTCCTGCGCTGTCCCTCCACCCTCCCAAGCATGATGTCCCTCTCCAAGGACCCGTCCCTCCTGGTAACATGTCCAAAGTATGTCAGACGAAGCCCCAGAATCCTTGCCTCCAAGGAGTAGCTTGGTTTAATCCTCTCCAAGATGAATCTGTTTCTTTTCCTGGTAGTCCATGGTACATTCAGTACCCTTCTCCAGCACCACAGCTCAAAAGCATCCACTCTCCTTCTGTCCTCCATGACTTAAATAATTATAGTGTATATATATCACATAATTTTAAATTTTTAGAAAAAGTTACAGAACTCACACATATGGTAAACTTGGGTATTTTTGTTTTCCATGTAGCTTTGGTATAATGTGCCTATTAAAAAGAATATATCCCAAGCAACAAATGCAGGCAAGGTTGTGGAGAAACTGGAACCCTTATTCACTGTTGGTGGGAGTGTAAAATGGTGCAACCACTGTGGAAGGCGGTATGGCACTTTCTCAAAAAGTTGCAAATAGAGATACCATTTGACCCAGCAATTCCACTACTACGAATATACCCCAAAGAGACCATAACTGACATCCAAGCAGATATATACACACCCATGTTTATTGCAGCTTTGTTCACAATAGCAAGGAGTTGGAAACAACCTAACTGCCCGTCAACACACGAATGCCTAGAGAAGCTGTGATATATTCACGCAAATGGAATGCTACACTGCATTGAAAAACAAGGAACTCATACAATATTATTAAAAATGGGTGACCCTGGAGGACATTATACTGAGTGAAGTATCTCAGTCACAAAAGGACAAATACTGCATGGTGCCACTGTTGTAAAACAGGACTGACATTGGGGTTGTGGGGAGACTGAGAAAGATGGGTTCAATAATGTATACTGCATTGAAACAGATGAGGAAGAAAACTGTTTAAAAGAGATATGTGATTAGGTATTTTTGTCATGACAGGAGTCTAGAGTGAAGGCTACATGATTGAGTGGACCTGGGGGATGGTTTGTAAAACAATGAAAAAATTTTTCTTTTACTTTTCCAAGGGGGGAGGGTTGGGAAGGGAGAAAAGTGCAACAATGAAGGAATGGAAATCCAAAATCTGTGTAAATTTTTACTGAAAGTAATAAAAAATTTAAATCAAACAAACAGAAAGAATATATCTTCCCTTCAGATCGTATAATAATTAATAGTATCCATATGACATTCCTCAAATTGAAAGGGGGGGGAATGTTAAATGGAAAGGAAAGAGACTCTGGAAACACAAAGAGCCACTGAAGAATAAAACCAAGTTAGGAGGCTCTCCATTTCTTCGTCTCCTCTCAGAACCTACCACTCAGCCGTGCTCCTCAGAGCAGCCAGCCCACTGCTGGCAGTGCAGTGACAGCCACTTAGGCCACTGGAGTAGAATTGAGAACCACGAGATAACTGAAAGCATAGTAGAATTCCAGAAAAATGTTTTCTTTTGTTTTACTGACGATGCAAAGGCATCCAGCTGTGTGGATCATGCCAAATTATAGGGAACTCGGGTGGTTTAGTGCTAAGGAATTACACTGTCAATGCAAAGGTACGTGGTTCAAATCGATTCGCTGCTGTGCGGGAGAAAGATGGGCAGTTTCCTCTTTTGACTGTTGTCTGTGTGGCCACTGCAGTGGGTTAGCAAACCTAACAGGGGAGTAGTAGCAAGAGCTGTGAGAAGGAAGACGAGGGCTAGAATTCACGGAAGTAGGCGCAGAGGTGGGGTGCGGTGCCTGACCTCGGAGGAGTCAGTTTCGTGCTGTTAATGTTATTGATGGAGATTCTTTGCCCTGCACACTTGCTGGAAATCACACACCGCTGTCCCCTTGTTGGTTTCCCTGTTTTTACATCACTAAAGGGGTTGTTATGTTGTTGGAACTAACTCCCAGCTGACCGTCCACTGGAGTTTCAGAGGCTGTAAATCACATAGGAGGAGATTGCCCAGTTTTCTCCCACAGAGCATCTGGTAGAGTTGAACTGCACGCCTTTGTGTTGGCAACACAATTCCTGCCCACTAGGCCACCAGAGTCCCCTCAATAAAGGGAAAAACAGCCACTTGAGACACTTTAAAAGGAAATTTTTATGCACACCAAAAGACTGTTCCAAAAGAAAAAAAAAGAGTGGGAATAAATATGAGGCCTGTGATCAGCCTTGTAGGTGCAGCTATTGATCTCTTTCTGGAAACAAAAAATTAGGAAGAAATGTGAAAATGCACAGAAAACAATTAGTTCAGAAGACAAATGTACCAAGCAGATCTCAACTGCCATGACCCTGAGACGTGACCTGGCTACCAGTGCTGACCACTCTAAAAGTGACCTCAAGAGGAGGTCTCAGAGTGGACACAAGGGTAGACTAAAACTCACAACTAAAAATGGCCAGGCTCCCCTCGTTCTCATAGAGACTAGTGGAGCTCTCAGGACTATGGGCCTTGGTTCCTCATGAGTCTGGAACACAGCTCACCCCAAAAATAAGCCTTTAAATGGAATACTATACAAAAGAGGTACTCATCCTCTGATAATCTTCCACGTAAAATCACAAGGCAGCAGTTGGCCAATGGTAGAGCTCAGAAGACACAAAAGGATAGGATAAAAGGATTTATGGAAATGAGACTCAGAGAGCAAATAGGAAGAGTATGATTTTATAGTGGATATAGTAATTAATGTCGTAAAAATGTGTATGAGTGCGTGAATGAAAACCAATTTGGAAGCTTTTACTCAAATTGTTGTTTTTGTTGTGTGCCATCAAGTTGCCTGCGACTCATAATGACCCTATGTACAACAGCCCTAATCCCTGCTCTATCCTGTGCCAATCTTAATGCCTCTGACACACCTACTCCCATTACCCCAGTCACTTAATCAATCCATCTCATCGAGGGTCTTCCTCTCCTGCTCTGTCCCTCCACCCCCCCCAAGCATGACATCCCTTTCCAAAGACTGGTCTCTCTTTGCAACATGTCGAACGTATATCAGATGAAGCTTCAGAATCCTTGCCTCCAAGGAGCAGCCTGGTCTCATCCTCTCCAGGGTAAACCTGTTTGTTGTCTTAGCAGTTCAGGGTATATGCAGTACTCTTCTCCAGCACCACAGCTCAAAGGCATCAATTCTTCTTCTATCATCCTAGTCATTATCCACCTCTCTGATGCATAACAAGTGATTGCAAAGACCATCGCCTGTATCAGGCACATCTTAGTCTCCAGACCGACACCATTGCTCTTTAGTACTATGGATCATTCTCTCATAATATGTGTTAATATGTAGGAAAAGCCCACTGTGTCTGTCCTAGTATGTTTATGTAGTCCTGAAGCCTGGTTTGGCACATGTGTGTATGTCAGGCAGCACTGATTACCTGAGGGTCTTCATCATGTCTTACTGATTACAGTGGACATGGTGCGTTTGTGCATAATCTCTTAAAACATGATCTTGAATGCTTACATTTTATTTCCTCATGTGAAAAATAGAAAGTTGAATTAATAATGAACTTGAGTTCTTATGTTACAGATAGTCAGCGCCTCCAGTTAGATCTACAGAAAATGGAACTTCTGGAAAGTAAGATGATTGAGGAACAACAGTCTCTAAAAAGCAAAATTAAACAAATGACCACCGATCTGGAGACATACAATGATTTGGCAGCTTTGAAGTCATCAGGGGAAGAAAAGAAAAAGGTGAATGCTCACAGCATCATCAAAGTTACAATTCAAATAGCTTCTACTGGATAAAATTTAACATTTGTATTTCCTATGAGATTTCTCACTTTTAGTTGATAATTTGATAGGCAATTTAAACCCTCCAGCTGCTCTTTGGGAGAAGAATGTGTGATTACCACTTCTGAAAACCCGCTGGAAGATCAGTTCCAATTGGAGAGTACACAATAACAATAGATATTTAGAGTGACTTGAAAATTAAGCTTAAACGGAAGCCAAAAATAGAAAAGCAGAAGATAAGCTACTACTTAAAACTAATTGCTGTTGAGTTGGTACCAGAGCAGACCTGTGCTCCATAAGGGTCTCAATGTATGACTTTTTAGAAATAGATCCCTAGGCATTGGGAGGGTCCTCTGGTGGTGGTCTTGAACCTCTAACCTGTACACTAACAGTTGAGAACATTAACTATTTGCACCTCCTAGGAACTCCAAGCTACTGGAGCATCTCTTCAAATATGATATTTATAAAATGCAGATTTGATTATGACACTTTCTATTTTAAACTTGTCACTGGCTTTTCATTGCTATTTATGTCTCTAACACATTGCCACAAAAGACGGTAATACATCAAAAAAAGCACGGCCCTCAATTTAAAAGTGTGCAGCAATGTGTTAAAAGTAGATTTGATGTGGTAGAGGCGTATAAGGTAGTATTAAGGGGTAATCTGTACATACTAGCATAGCTTTCATAGTTCAAAGGCTATTTTTACTAAATGTCAGATTACATCCACTGAAATTATCTATCAACTGTTGGCTTCCTAGTTGTTTACATTATTTACTTCTGTTTGGGTCTGTATAGAAACTACATCAGGAGAGAACAGTACTATCAACTCGTCAAAATGCCTTTAAGAAAATAATGGAGAAGTTAAACATAGACTATGAGACATTAAAAACACAACTACAAGAGAATGAGACACATTCTCAGGTGAGCAGAGGGGGAAAACCACTTCTGGAATTCATTTCTCTGTTTAGGCTGTCTTGTCTAGTTCTTTTAATATACTGTAAATATTTTCCCAGTTCTGCTGGCTGTTAAGACAGCCAGATTCTCTATAATCTCTGTTCTCAATAAATGAATTGCTCCTGCTTTTCTGCTTTCGTGAAATCACTCACTGCATTTGTGATGTCTGAGGTCGTTCTCAGATAGCTTGCATTGGTTTCATCATGATGAACCTTAGAAACATGCTTGTCTTGTCTTCCTTATTCTCAGTACCATCCAAGTGATTAACACAAAGTGAGGGTTCGGTAAGTGTTTGTTGGATGATTGACACAAGCGGTGTCATGTGTGAAGTCACTAATTATGGCCTGAAAAAAGTGGGCAATTTTCATGCTTTGGATTAGCAATAAAAAAGCTTGTATTTCGGATCTGCTAGCTTCTCTATGGGAGAAAGATGCATAATCTCCTCTTGTAAAGATTGACCATCTCAGAAACTCAATGGTGGGTCACCAAGGGAATGAACTCACTCAGCAGCTGTGGGTTTGGCCTTTTCCTTTTCGGTTATTTCTCTACACTGGCAATTTAAAACTCTAATTATTAATGTTAAATGCTTTCAAAGCTTAGATCTTTTCTCTGTGTAGTCATATGGTTATAGTAAAAAATAAAACCCCTAGAAATAACCAGTGGTAGTGTTTTGGTGTAACATCTTTCCAGGCTTTCTCTTCGCAATCATGCAGTTGTTAGGTGCTGTCGAATGGAGTATGACACCTAGCTGCCCTGTGAACAACGGGCCTGAACCTTGCCTTATTCTGTACCATCCTCACAGTCCTGGCATACTCAAGCCAGTTGCTCCAGTCACTCTGTCAGTCCATCGGATTTCCATCTGATTGATAGTCTTCCTCCCTTTCACCTACCCTCCACCCTTCCAAGCATGATGCCTTCCTCCTTTGCAATTATACAAACATACTAATAATATTTTATTTATAAAAAATGGGATAACACATAGAGCCTTTAAACATTTATCCTTTAATGTATTTTCAACTTCTTTTCGATGACATCATTTTTATGACCATAGCAATTCCGTTATATGGATGTGACAATTTTTTAAAAAAATGCACTGACACACACCCCCTTACCATCTTCTGAAAGGACCAGAGTCTTATAAAAGTTTTGCCACCACACTAAGAGCTCATAAAATACTATTTGTGAGGTTCAAATGACCAGTCAACTTTTCCTGTCTCTCCTTCATAAATAAACTTGGGCACAGACTTGTTAAGTTGGCAAGATAATCTTGGGCCCTTCAGAGTGGAAATAAGTGCTGGAGGAGAAATCAGAGAGAAAGTTTGTGAGGTCTTTGCCTTGAATAGCTCTTGGAAGGAATTATTGATATTCCTTAGATAATATTGACCCTCCTCTTCCACAAAATATATGACTCGAGAAAACACTTGACAAACACCAATTCTTAGAGCAGTCAATGGCTACTTGTTTATTCCTGTTTATTCCCACATCAAGTGCTAATCGTATTTTTAACTCTGCTAATTAGAGCAAATCATACCATAAGCCACAATATAAAATCCTTGTCTGTAATATTTTATTAAATGAATTCCTGGTGTTTCCATCTTTCACAACTATTGTCTTAGAAACTAGTTTTTTATATCTATAAGTAATTTTCATTCATGAACTCTTTAAATAAGGCATCTTTTATTTTAAATAAAATTTTTATTTTATATTGGTTTACTTACAAAGTTTGTGTACATTGTTCTTCACACTGGCTCTTTCCCATTTTCTTTACTCACCCTCCCTCTACCCAGCAAATTGTGTGACCCTATGATTATCTCCCTCCCCATCCTCACCCCCCTGGATCCTCATACACGGTTTACTAGTTATCTTTCTATTTCTCCAATAATGGTCTTATTCAGAATTTGTCCTTACAGGACTGAGTTAGTTCACTTAGCCTGAGACTCTCTGACCCTCCCAATTTAGGTAGTGATTTTCAAAATCACTGCTCCTGCGTGCTGTGTGGTACTTAAATAAGGTATCTTTTTGCTGCTGAGTTTTGGAAAGTCGATCCCGACTCACAGCCACCACACGTGGAAGAGCGGAGCTTCACCCATTTTTGTAGAAGCACGTCTCCAGGTTTTTCTCCTGTGGAGCCAGCTGCCGAGTGAGTTTGAACTGCCAACCTTTCGGTTCTTCACTGTTTGTATGGCACTTAGAGGTTTGTTGTGTATTATGCAGCCACCTCTTTGTACAACAGAAATAGAAAAAAAAATCTGGCACTTGACTTTGCAAAACAGATTTTTAGAGATTTACTGCCAAAAGTGTTGGGTGTTTCCTTGAGTCCCTCCTCACTTTGAGCTCTCATCTGGGCCGACTTGATCTGATTTAGTAGTATTAACTCATAGCAGGTACAGTTTACATAGTTAATTAATTACAGTTCACCCTAATACCTGGATTTCATTCTGTGGAGGAAACAGTGGGATGGTTCTACTTCAACACTGACCCTGTGCCCTGAAGACAAGCTTAACTGAGGGGTAGTAAGAAATGTTATTACTGCTACTTCAGGGATCAAATTTTAAAAAATCATTATTTCTTTGAAAAGTCCACAGTGAACATGAGTTTGGTATTTCATTTTTCAGTCAGTCTAGAGTGAAAACTGTGTGTGTCTTAAAAAAGAAAGACCATAACCTAGAGTTACAAGGTTAATTAAATCAGAAAAACAATTTAATTCTATAACAGTAAAATTGTCTTCCGAGGAAGCAACCATCAATATAATATCCACATTAGCTTCCTGTTGATGCAGAAATGATTGTAACCATGCCAGCTTGTTACCAGCCCCCTTATAATCTTCACACTGCAGCTCTGCTCTTATCACAGCTTGTGGACTTAGACAGGAAGTTTAGCCCTGGAAATAAGGAAGTTTCTTCTATATAGCTGATCCTTTGATAATTTTAGAGTATATATTTGTAGGATTAGATTTCTAGATTTTAAGGAAGAGATTCCCATCATATTCCATTCTTCTTTTAAAGTGGGGGTTTTTTTAAGCAAAGAGGTGGGGGGAAATCATAAGCTGTCTTTTAGTTGGCATACTTATTGCTATAATAATAAATATTTTCTACTTAAAACAAGCATATACAGTGAAACATAGATTTTAGCATATTTATTAATGTATTTACAGTAGCTTACTTTTTTATTAATTTTTTTTCTGTTCTCTACCAAAGATTTTTTATTACTAAAATGTAAACATTTCATAAGATTTTTAAGTTAAAGTTGTTGTGGTTTTGTTTTTTTTAATCGTTTTAAAAGGATACATACTTGTTTTGATTTGGGGCACTTGTTTACATTTTTCTTTTGTGTTTTTAGCTTACAAATTTGGAGAGGAAGTGGCAACACCATGAGCAAAATAACTTTGTGATGAAAGAATGTATCCTTGGAGAAGCTAAAAATGAGTATAACTGATTTTTTCCTTACAGTTTCTTTAAAGACTGTAATTTTCTAAACTCAATTTGTTACACTCTTAGGCTAATATGTCCAAAAATAAAGTTAAACTATATGGGGAATAAATGGATCAGTTCTTGGAGAGGCATGTCATGTTTCGAAGAGTAGAGGGACAGTGCAGGAGAGAAAGACCCTTGATTCAGTGACTTCCAGATTGATTCAGTGACTGGTGTAATGGAGATAGGTGAGTCAAAGACAATAAGATTGGCACAGGGATAGAGCAAGGTTTAGGACTATTGTGCATAGGGTCGCTATGAGTTGCAGGCAGCTTGATGGCACATAACAATAGCAACTCCAATTTATATGCTAATAAGAATTATTACTCTCTAAGAGGAAAGTTATGGGGAGGAGTATATGTCAAAACACTAATAGTAAGTACACTTTTGGAAATGCCACCAGTGGGCACAAAGTTAGAGTGTGACCTGGTGATAAAGTGCACAGTGTTTGCAATCTAATCTGATCCAGGTTAAATGTTGACTCTACAACTTATAAATTATGAGCTTTAAGAAGTTTAAACTATCAGCCTCCATTTTATCATCACTAAAATGCAAGTTGATATTTCGTTCTTGTAAAGTTGTTGGAAGACTTATACATAAAGTCATAACTCTTTTATGTTGTTGTTGTTGTTGTTGTTGTGTACCATCAATTCAGAGCTGACCCTGAGCTGACCCTTCAGTGGGTTTTCAGAGGCAGAACTTGCATGGGAGGAGATTGCCCGTCCTTCTCCCGCAAGCAGCTGGAGGATTTACCTTCAGGATTGCAGCGCAGATTCTTACCACTCATGACACAAATAGACAGCTAGATACTGCATGTGTGTAATTGTTGTTTATAATGCAATAGCTTGGATATCTAGGAAACAGAGGGAGCTAAACGAAGCAGGGTCCTAAGAAGTTTGATCTTTCTGCTCATCCTTCTTTCAACTGAATGCCATTTTATGTCTACTACAAAGGGACTAAAATGGGACTGTAGCACTTTTCTAATCTGTTGTTGCTGATTATTGTCCAGTTGAGCACGACTCATAGCGACTCTATCAACAGAAAGCCTGAAGCCTTGCTTATAACTACCATCGTTTCTCCAAGTTCATGGAGTTTCCAGAGGCATGTGGTTTAGGAAGTGGCTGCCACTCCTGCTTCCAAACCTGTCTTAAACTGGGAGCTCCACCAAACACTGTCCACAATAGGCAGCTGTTATGGCTTTTGGCTACCCAATGGCACAAGGTTCAGCATAACAGCAAACCCAGATTACCTCAGTATAGCACATTGACAGAGGAGTGCTGTACAACTTAGAAGAATGTTCCTCCAAATTAAAATAACACTAGGTCTTTGGGCCCAACCAATGTTTCTAATCTTGGGAGGCAGAAATGGTGAGAATTCTATGATGGTTTCTTCCAAAGTCGTTTCCTTTTGCCTTTGACGATTGAAGCCTATTTCTTGACCTTAGGCAGCAGCAATTGCTAAGATAATGAATAGCAGAGTTGTGAGGTGCCCTTCTCCCACGTTGTTTCCTGTTCCTTCTTTGACTATTTTTTCTGACGTCTCTGCATGGAGAACTTGCTATCAATAGTGACAGCATAGGTTCTCCTTTGGGATACAGCGGAGGTATACAGCTCATGGCCAGCTCAAACCTTCAAACTGCAGTTTGCCTCCAGATAAGGCCCTTTAGATGCTCTGTTCCACCTTAGTTTCAAAACAGAAAATTTGTAATCATACTATACTAAAGTCTTAAGTTTTATACATTAGGAAGGTGACTTTGAATCAGAATAAAAATTTGAATGTAGAAAGAAAAATGTAAACTTCTGAATCTAGAAATTCTGTGTTGAGCTCTAAAAAGCATGATCTAGGATTCAGTCAATCTATTAAGATTACTCTAAAAATAGAATTAGATTAAGATGCATGATGTTACAGTAGGAAAACTTTTCTATTGCAGTTGCATTTTTTGGAACAAGTTTTGCATGGCTTTTCAGATATTAGTTGATGCTAAAATAACAGTGTTAAAATAACAATTTTTTAAAAAATGTGTCTTTTCTGTGCTATCATGTTCTCTTTTTTTAAAAAAAAATGTAGTTCCATTTTGAGTTGCAATTAGGTTCATATTTGTATTGATGCTGTATCTCCTTAACCACATAATTAGTCATAGCGACCAAGAGTCAAGAGAGTGATTACCAGCCAGTTATGAAGAATGTGAACAAACAGATTGCTGAATACAATAAAACTATCGTGGATGCTCTCCACAGCACCAGTCGGAACTGAATCAAAAGTGACTCTGAGACCCTCGCACAGCACTTTCTTGTGCTAGACTTTGTACAAACTGACTCAAAAGAAAAGAAAAAATACTCCTCTTTGCAAAGCTCTACTTAAGATTCATGAACACTATAGTTGTGTAGCCTTTTGAAAGAGTGATGTTTTAAATAACATACTTCAATAAATTGTCTTGAATTTGAAATTACTTATTTTCATGGTGTTTTGTCTTGTGGACATAACAGAATTTTCTTAATGAATGAAAAGATAAAATTATGACCAACAATTAGTCATTACAGTCTTATCTGTGGCAGCAAATAAATCATCTTTTCAGGTATCATCTGAGAGAGAGATGCCTGAGGTCTGATGCTGATTTAGCACTTGGATCAACTTACTAGTTTTCTTTTAAACAAAAGAACTTTAAGAATATAAGGGAGATATTATCTCCTCTTGTGCGATTAACTAACTGCCTTTGAAAACCTGCTAGAGGGTCCACTATGGGTCAGTTCTGACTCAGTGGTACACAGCAACAACAAGAGAGATTTAGATTTGAGGTCTTATACTTCAGTACGATGTGTTGTTGTTTTGTGTACCATAGAGTTAGGAATGACGCATAGCTGACCCTCCAGCAGGTTTTCAGATGCAGTTAATTGTGCAGGAGGAGATTGCCCATCGTTCTCCCACTGAGCTCCTGCTGGCCTTGAACTGTGTGTCTTTTGGATTTCAGCACAGCTTCTTGCCAGAAGGCCATCAGAGCTCCACTGGTAAATATATAACCTGTTCTGTAGTTATTCTTCAAGGCCACCAGCTGCTCCATGGGGGAAAGATGGGCAGTCTCCTCCTGTGTGATTAACTGCCTCTGAAAACCCGCTGGAGGGTCAGTTCTGACTCTATGGTACACAACAACATCAACATAATTATCCTTACAGATTTGCAAACAAATTTAACATTTCAGGATAGACATTCATTCACATTCTTGTACTATTAAGAAGACTTGAATACATTTACTGATGCACATTAGCCTAAATAGTGAAAAGCAAACAAATGAGAAGAATTAGAAATCTATGTTATTTATCCAGTGTTATTCAGGGAAAAGACAGTAGAGTAGCAAAGATGTATTTACCCTATTTGGTGGCACAAGGCTGAGTCCCCTTTGTCAACATAAAATAGTGTTTCAAATTGTCCTTAGTTTCCTTAAAACTGCCCTCCTTTTGCTTTTATCTTACATTCTTAAAGTTTTTCTAGCTCTAGTCTTGAAACAGAGTAAATTGGTTTCTTGAAAAACAAAAGTAACAGTAAAAAGAAAACTGTATTGAGATATGATTCACATACATAAAATTTACCTGTGCATGTTGCTGTCTTGAAGTAAGTATTTATCATGATGAATTCCTCCACTGCCATTTGCCTGAGTTTGGTAGAGGCCTGAGCACTGTTGAGCTTGGTTAGCTCTCTATTATAAAGCTAAATACCCTGTGGAGTGTTACTTTCATTAAGGAGACTTTTCTACATCAGAGCTCTGGTTAAAGAGTTATGTTGACAACTCAAAGACCAGCTGTTCAAATCCACGAGCTGCTCTGAGAAGAGAGATGGGCAGTCCCCTCTCCTACAATTCACAGCCTCCAAAAACCCACTGGAGTCAGCTCCAAGTCGGTTCTGACTCAACAGCAAAGAGTTAGTTCTAGTTATGATCTTTATATTCTGAGTTTCCCAAGTTATTGTCGAGTTTATACCACCTAGGAATCTGTATTCAAAGATATTTGAGAAACAATTTGAAGAAAATTGTTTTCTTTATTCTTATCTACTCAGCATCCTTAATATGCTAATATACAATAATTTCCAAAGGAATATAAACTGTGAAGTATTTCCCAAACATAAGTATCCTTAGATAAATATTTCACAAAGTACAAGTCACATAATGCATGTGTTCTGACAAATCGACTTTATACATCAAATATAGAGAATAAGTACTAGGGAGCTCTGGTGGTGTAATACATAGGGAATTCCACTGCTGACCCAAGGGCGATGGTTCGAATCCACCGGTGGCTCTGAGGGAGAAACTTGAGCAATCTCCTCCGGTGCAAGATTTGTAGCCTCTGAATCCTGAACTGATGGAGGGTCAGCTATGAGTTGGTTCACACTGAGGACAATGAGTCAGTGAGTGAGTGAGCTTAACAGAGCAACTGACTAGAGTGTAAAGGTGAGTGCATGACTCAGGTAAAGAACTGACTCTCACTGTCTCTCTCCCACACGAGTTCTACTCCCTGCCTGCTACGTCTGAGGAAGAATCTGAGAAGCGTGTCTGTAGATGGGTAACCTTTTTCAGGGAACTCTGGTGGCCTAGTGATTAGAAGCTATGCTGCAGTTCTAATCCACCAGTCACCATCACCCCACGGGAGAAGGATGATAGGCAGTCAGTCTCCTCACGTGTAAATTAACTGCCTCTGAACCCACTGGAGGCTCAGCTATGACTTGATAGCACACAACAACAACAACAATCTTTCCCATTTCAAATAGAAGTCAAATGCTTCTGTATTTTATTAACTTTGTAATTTTCACTATTAATAATAAGGAAGGGTTTTCCCCCCCCCGAGCAGTATAATTATGGGTAGTTTAATTTTCATTGTGTTTTTTAATAGTTTCAGAATCATCTGCGATGCACGTTTAGTATTTAGAAAAGCAGTGCTATTCAAATAAAGTTACATACATCATCAACACATGAACTTGTAGAAAGAATGTATGTGCAGTTGTTGGCTCTAACTAGAACTTGAACAAGTCTCTAAGCAGAAAGAACGTAGGGGGAAGATCAAGCTATTCGGTAAGTGTGAATGTATTTGCATTATAACAATGGAAAATTTGCCAGGGGAAAAGCCACACACACAAGCATTGAAAATTTCTTGAAAAAAAGCAAGGTTTCCAACTTCCGTTCTAAATTACTCATCTTATATATAATATTTGGGGAACATAATTGAGTTGGATTTCTTTAAGCTAACACATGTTATCTAAGGGGAAATGCTCATTGATGTCTCTTCCTTCCTCTCAGAGCCTTCCAACAACTCCAACCGAGAATACTCCCAGCTAGGATAGAGCTGGAGACTAGAATCCACACACACTGCCTCTTCCTCAGGCGGCACATCGCTCAGTATGTTCTATTCTCGCTAAAATAACACCTTGGAAGTCATGTGGAAAGAAGCTGCATACTGAACAAACATGCGGAGTCCTGTCTCTAGTGAAGAATAACATGGGAAAGTTAGCAAGTCATTGTTTTGCCTGTCCTTATCCTTTATCAATAAGTAAACATGACTTTTTGATGCTCTTTTCACTAACTGGGACTCCTTCCTGTGGCAAATAGCCTGGTCTCATGGTAAAATGCAAAATTCGGTGCCAAGACAAGAGTGTAGAGTAACGCCAGGCAGCTAGAATTGAAAGACCAGCGAGGCATAACTCTAGGAAGTTCTTGCTGTCCTCCAGGCCAGTTCCCCCCCCGCCCCCCGTAGCTCTTTCCTTTCGCTAGAAAATATTAGCAGAAATATTAGCAAGTTACACTACTTAGATTTAAACTAAGAGGAAATCAAGGTTTTACACTGCAGAATTGTAGTAAATAAAAATCCTCATGACTGGACCAGTAAGTACACAATTTGTGATAAATGGAGAAAATATGGACGTTATTAATTATTTAACTTTACTTGGATCCACAGTCAACACTCAGGGTAACAACAGGCAAGAAATCAAGACTTGTTGCATTGGGAAAGTTGACTATGCGAGACCTCTCCAAAGTGCTAAAGAGGAAGAATGTTCACCCCAACAAGATAAAGGTAAAGAATCCAATTGAAAAATGGGCTCAGGATATGAACAGACACTTCACCAAGACATTCAAATAGCCAACAAGCACATGAAGAAATGTTCAAAATCCCTAGCTCTAAGAGAGATGCAAATCAAAACAACTATGAGATATCTCACCCCAGGCAGAATAGCAAAATTTAACAGAACGGCAAGCAACAAATGTTGTGGAGAAACTGGAATCCTTATTCACTGTTGGTGGGAGTGTAAAATGGTGCAACCACTGTGGATGGCGTTATGGCACTTTCTCAAAAAGTTACAAATAGAGATACCACTTCATCCAGCAATTCCACTACTGGGAATATATCCCAAAGAGACCATAACTGTCAAGCAGATATATGCACACCCATGTTTATCGCAGCTCTGTTCACAATAGCAAGGAGTTGGAAACAACCTAAGTGCCCATCAACAAACGAATGGATAGAGAAGTTGTGGTATATTCACGCAATGGAATACTACACTGC